CAAAGTGCCTACGATGACTTGCCTAACGTACAAAACAACTCAGTGGCAGAGCCAGGACCTCATCCTTATCTCTTGTCTCCCAGGCCTGGGACCGTTCCATCTGAGACTCCACCTCCAGGCCCTACATCTTCCCTGGACCGCAGGGGAAAACTGCAACCCCTTCTCCTTCACCCAAACTATTGGCATCTGGGCTGTTCACTTTAATGATACGCCACCTTGTTATAAAGACGGACTGGGTGACTTCCTTGGTGGCACAGTGGTTAAGAATCCGCCTGCCAATGCAGGGGACACAGGTTCGATTCCCTGGCCCGCGAAGATCCCACATGCTGCGGAGCAACTAAGCCCGTGCGCCACAACTACTGAGCCTGCACTCTAGAGCTTGTGAGCCACAACTACTGAGCCTATGCACCACAACTACTGAAGCCCGTGTGCCTAGAGCTCGTGCTCTGCAACGAAGAGTAGCCCCCGCTCGCTGCAACTAGAGAAAGCCCGTGTGCAGCAACGAAGACCCAACGCAGCCAAACATAAATAAATGAAATTTTAAAATTTATTTTAAAATAATAAATAAAGAGGGACTGGGATTTTTTAGCACTGTAGGGTTTTTTGTTTTTGTTGTTGCTGCTTACCAGTAAATTTATTTTATTTTATTTTTTTATTGAAGTATAGTTGATTTACACAGTTGTGTTAATTTCTGTTGTACAGCAAAGTGATTCAGTTATACGTGTATATATATATACATTCTTTTTTCTAACATATTCTTTTCCATTGTGGTTTATCACAGGATACTGAATACAGTTCTCTGGGCTACACAGTAGGACCTTGTTGTTTAACCATTCTCTATATAAAAGCTTTCATCTGCCAGTCCCAAAGTCCCACTCCGTCCCTCCCCTGCCCCCCTGCCCCCTCAGCAACCACTAGCACTGTAGTTTTATGTGTGCTGTTTTCACCTCCCCAACTAAACCTGAAGCTTCCTGGTGAATTCCCCTCCACACCATCTCCAGGACCCTGCACAGGACGGCCCACACACATCCGCTGGAGGAAAGAGGCAGACAAAGATGAGGCGTGCAGACGCTGAAGCCAGACAGACCTGGCTCCAGGGCCCGCTCGGCATTTACCACCTGCATGGCCTTGAACGAAGCCGCTGACCATCTCTGCACCTTGCAGAGAAAGTGAGAGAGTCCCCGCGCCCCAGGATTACCAGGAGGACCTAATGAGATAACACATGCCAAGCATTCGGCACAATGGCTGGTATATGGCAACCGCTCAGTAAGTATAACCCGCAGTTAGTAATACTAGTAGCAGTGGTAGTAAAAACAGGCTCCCAAACACCGACTTCCAAGTGGTTTAAACAGGCAAAGATCAAAGACCTGAGTTCAGAAAAAATCCTGCTTATTAATGCCTATTAAATACCTAAACTATTATATCAGGTGTCTCCTTTTCCTTATAAACTTAAGATGTTCAGTAACTACACACAGTCCCCAATGTCCTTCTCCACAGGGAAAGGCCAACCCCCCTCCCCCCAAGTTTGCTTTTCTGGGTCACCTCCCATCCATCTCCTCCTGACTCCTGGCTCCCTGCTTCGCCCCACTCTGCAGAGCTTGCATTGGGTGTAGACTCCATCCCCAGTCCCAGGAGAACAGTGCTGGACACTTTGCATTTCACAAAGGTGTCCCTTCTGATAGTCTCATTCGTTCATTCAATGAGCGCACATTTATCAAAAGCTGGACACTTGGATCAAAAGCCAGACGACCACCTGCCCTCTAGAGGACCTCCCAGCCCTGAGAGTCCCCCAGCTTCTCTTTCTTAATCACAGACTCACCTTTGAGAGCTCTCCTTCCTCCCAAGCAGCATTAGGATGACTGTCTCATTCTCAGCAATAAGAGCAGGCGAGCTGGATTCAGACGGCCAGGGTTAGAATACTGGCTCAGTCACGTTCTTATGACAAAACCATGGGCAAATTTCTTTCCCTCTCTGCTTCACCCACCTCACCTTTAGAATGAGGATAATGATGCCTACCAACTAGACCTGTCAGAATGAAATGAAAACCCAATGAGCCTATATGGGATAAGAACCTAAAACAAGAGTGGATATATGCATATGTGTAACTGATTCACTTTGCTGTACACCTGAAACTAACACAACATTGTAAATCAACTATATTCCAATAAAAATAAATAAATAAATAAAAATATAAGAGAGTGAGATAATAAAAACATTTTTCTAAATGTTTTATTTAGAAAAAGTGAAAAAGTCTTAAAGTTAGACTAATTGCCTTTTTTAAAATAAATTTATTTATTTATTTAATTTTGGCTGCGTTGGGTCCTCGTTGCTGCACGTGGGCTTCCCCTGGTTGTGGTGAACGGGGACCACTCTTCGTTTTGGTGCATGGACTTCTCATTGCAGTGGCTTCTTTTGTTTCGGAGCACGGGCTCTAGGCGCGTGGGCTTCAGTAGTTGTGGCACGCGGGCTCAGTAGTTGTGGCTCGCGGGCTCTAGAGCACAGGCTCAGTAGTTGTGGCGCACGGGCTTAGCTGCTCCGTGGCATGTGGGATCTTCCCAGACCAGGGATCGAACCCGTGTCCCCTGCATTGGCAGGCGGATTCTTAACCACTGTGCCACCAGGGAAGTCCCAAATTAGAGTAACTGTATCCAAAATGCCTACTAACTGTTATGCAATAAAATCATTTATATACTCAAAAAAAAAACCAATGAAGTCTTTAGAACAGCGCACGGCACATATTAATAAATGCTCACTGATACCATTTTACAGCTTACAAAAAAGATCTACCCTTTAGCTGGAACGGCTGTTTGGCGTTAACACAACGAAGTGCTAAGCTAACCACTGAAGAAGAAGCAGTAAAATGTTCTGAACTATTGCTATGTCACAGCAAGACTCTCCTTTTCCAGGCATCTGCCAAGTCAGCTAAAACCTCTGCTTCCAGGGAAAACGTAAAGAATCTCGAGCAGGGACCACAAGTTCTATTTGTAACTCAAACTCGAAGAAGGCTCTGGAACAAAGAGCATCCTGACAGCTCAGGGGGCAGAGAGGTGCAGGAGGCTGCCCTGGGCAGGGGGCGACCTGCCGCAGAGGCTGACCCCAGAGACCCCTGCAAGGCGGCCCGAGGCACAGCGCCCGAGGGAAGTGCAGGTTCTGGAACCAAGGAACAGCCGAATCAGAGGGCAGGACACAGCAAGGGAAATCCCGAGCACTGCCAACAGTTGAGGCTCGAGACGGTGGCAGTGTGGTCCTGGGTGATCCGTTGCCAACAGCAAGACCCTCAGCCTGTGGCCCAGGGCGTGAAGGAGGGCCCAGTCTCAGGGCAGGGAGCTGGCAACAGCTGGGCAGGATTCCCCAAGCATGTGAATTTCCGATAACAACGGTCCAGGCAGGAAGCATGGCACTAAGCAGGTAAATCAGGACAAAAATCCATTCGAAACACCTGAGCTTATAAGGCAGGTGAGCAGGAGAAGGTACACAAAGGGAGAAAAGGGAAAGAGTAGACCCAGAGAACACAGCCTGGGGCTCAGCCTGGCCCATCAGAAGCCAAGTGTACTGGCAACAAAGACTTGAGTCCAATCCCTCTAACGGTGGGAAGGCAGCACCTTAAATGCTACTTCCTTGCATAGTAGATGTGTTGGCCCAGCTGTGGGCACCCGTGCAGAGCAATGGAGGGAAAATGATGTAGCAGAGCCCAAAGGCAAACCCAAGACCAAAACATGGTAAGAGGCGAGCATTCCAGGTACGTCAAGGATGGGAGGGTCTGTGTGTAGGTTTCACTCTGCACGCTCAGCACGTTAAATGAAAGTAGCCCACAGAAGGGTTTACCAGGGATGTGGGGTGAAACACGGGGCTTCTATCTAGGGTTAAGTCTTTCCCAGAGAAGGTGGTTAGTGGCAGTGACTTGAGTACGCTGTCTGTATTTATAGCATTTTCTCTCAGCCATCAAATCCAGAGGACAAATGCCAAAGGCCTCTAGAGGATGAGTACCCGGATTTTTTCCACTTCACCTCTTAAAGCAAAACCCCTCCCCTAACATTCAGACTCTCCTCTGCCCAAGTCTCTGAACGAGAGCCAGCTCTCAGCCCACACCCCTTCCCGCCCCAACAGGGCCGTGACCCACGACCTTGCTGGGTCCACAGGCCATGCCAGGCCTTGGGGCGGGAAGGGGTATGGGACCCACCAGATTGCTCCAGGGCAGCAGGAAGGGAAGACTGAACAACACTCAGAGCGCCAGAAAAGAAGACCTGAGATCCCAAATCAGGAGCAGAGCAACTTTTTCCCAGACTGGTGATGACTCAAGGGATTCCCGGGCACAGCAGTAAAGCCTCGGGGGCTGTCTTCGTGCCTGATGCCCCAGAACGCTAAGCGAGTCACCCCGTTCTGCAGCGTCCTTGCCAAAGTCAACTCCAATGTGAGCCTCAGTTTCTCATCTGTCACAAACTGGGTGGCCCCCAAAGGCACCTCCCACCCAGGATCCTATGACTCCCTGAGCAGGAGACCAAACAGGTCCAACCTTTGTCCAGTTCAGGGAACCAGGTCAATTCTCTGCTGGGCAGGAGCCCCAGACTGGAAGAACAGGAGTGGTCACGAGGCTGCACTCCTGACACAGGTAAGAGGAAGGAAGCCATGCCTCAGAGCCTGCATCCAGCCCAGCCGGCCTCTGCCGGACTTTTGCAAGGGTTAAATTCCTAGGCCTGAGAAAAGGCACCAGATCCCCAGGGGCAGGAGAGAGATGAGCTTCCTCCTCCTCCAGCTAAGGTCTGGGATGGTTTCCTGTGCATGTGTGTATGCGTGCATGCGTGTGTGTATGCATGTGTGTGTGTGTGTGTGTGTGTGTGTGTGTACACGCACGCGCGCACCTTTGTGGGGTTTTTCCCTCCCTCCTGACCAGCAGGTTGTGCTGCCCATGACAGAGGGAGCCCCTGAGGCTAACCCTGTGTGCATCCCCCCAGCAATGATGGGCGGCCGGCCACCCTGCCCCTTCCCATACCACCTCTCACCTGGGGGTTGTCCATGTACCAGAGAAGGCAGTTGGCCTGCGTGTCCAGAATAAAGTACCTCCGCAGAAACTTGCCGCTGTTCTCATTCTCCTCGATGTCCAGAAACCCACAGATGCGGTTCTGCCGATCCACATAAGGCATTCCTGGGCTCTGCTCACATCACCCTGTGTGGCAGGAGGGAGGGAGGGGCCGTGAGAAGGAGAGTACAGCGGGTGCCTCACTCCGGCCTGACTCCCCTCTGCAGAAGGGAGGCTGCCACCCTCTCCCACGGGTGTCCTTCCCCAGGGCCCCAGATGTCCCACCCCAACCAGACCCCGGAAACTTCTGTCAACTCTGTTCCATGAACAGTCACCAAAATCCATTAATTCAACTAACTTTCCTGAGGCTCCGCTACGTGCCAAGCAGAGCGCTAGGCAACTTTACACGCATGGAAGATGTGAGTCCAGACTCTGGGTCAGGGGCCTGGGTTCAAATCCCAGTTCTTGTCACTTACTGATGTTTGTGTGACCACAAACTGTTTAATCTTTCCATGCCTCAGTTTCTGCATCTGTAAAATGGGGATAATAATAGGACCTACACCAGATTTTGGCGAGAATTAAGTACGTGACAGACAAAGCATTCATAAACACTAGGTATTGTTATCACTCTTCAGAAAAGCCTTGTGAAGTAGGTTATAACCCAATTTATATGTAAAGAAACTACTGCAGAAAGGATTTGAGCTCCCGTGCAAACACCTGGATAAACTCTGCCGAGAATTCAGGTGTGAAGAGCAGCCCCTCCAGCTCCATGAAGGTACCAAGGAATCAAATCCGAGGGGTTCCTGGGGCAGGGCCACACCCCTCAGCCCCAGGACCACTTCCTTCACTTTGCCATTTCCCAGAAGCCACTTGTAATCGAAGGAATGAGGGAGCAGAAGAAAGCCCAAACCTGAACACTTTCCTGATTGCAGAAGAGGGTCCGGCGATTTGAGACATTCCGCACCCTCAGACAGGCCTCCCCTCTCCTGGCTCCCTTCCGTCTGTCTGAAGAGCCAAAGGAAAAGGCAGGAGCTCTGTTCTCCTCCCCAAGAGGAAAAGCACCCTCCAACAGGCAGCTACACCCCACCTGGACGCACAATGCACTGCAGAAGTGCGACACGGTGCCCAGGGTTAGAAAACCCCATGTGACAGTCAGAACTTCAAGGACAGACGCCACCCACCCCACCCACCCCTGGTCCTGCTTGGCTCCAACAAAGCAAAAATTCACTGTGACCCAAGCCCGCCATGGCCCTGAGCCTATGACTAAGCACAGCTGAGAGACGGCTGGCTTCGGGCCGTGCCCTGCACCATGACCCTGGGTGAGCCCCTGAGCTACCAAGATGCCAAGCCCGCAGGCTTCCTGGCCAGGAGGAAAGTCCCACATGCAGAGACACACATTTCCACAAGACGAGGCGAATTCTAAGGATGTGGATGGTGGCGGGGCCTTGCGGTGCTGAGACGCTGCCCCAAGAAAAAAATACCCTGCTCACACACCAGGATGCCAGGAAACAGTGAATCCCTTGATTCCAGGTAAGGTCAGGCAGAATCCCAACGGGGCAGATGACTCAGTCAGGAGGGAGGCGGGTCAGGGGATCCCGCGGCGACTCGCTGGGCAATGATGGGAGACAAAAAGGAAAGCAGCCAGGGAAACAGGACACAGATGAAACAGCACAGCTAGAAAGGAGTAAAAGAGGAGGAGAGAAAAGGAGAAAAAGTGGAAAGAGGAGGTTTAGAAAGAGGGCAGAGGAGAACGAAGTAGCAGCACAGTGGGAGAGGAGGACCCCGAGGGTGAGGGCCAGGGGGGAGACACCCCTGCACGCAGTGCATCACGTGGTCAGAGGTCCCTGTGGCCAGATCCCCAGCTTCTCGGTACCTCCCCAAACTAAGCCTCCATCCCAGCTCCCGTCTCACCACTGGCCAAAGTGAGTTCAGGAAAGGGAGAGAGATGGGTTCAAGCCAAGGGGTAGGGTCAAAAATGGGGAGGGAGAGGCCCAGCGCTGGTTGGGGAGGAAGCAGATCCCTGAGAAAGGATGCAGCTTCCCCCAGGGAATCAGGGGAAATCAGGAGTCCCAGGCAGAAAGGCTGGGTCAGCCCTGCAGTGAGGGTGCACCCAACCCCCAAGAAAACTCAGCAAATTCCCCTGATGCCAGCGCAGCCACAGAGACAGACGTTCCGGGGGATTCAGCGCTGTCGCCACCCGGGACATCCCTAAGGGGAAGGGTATAAACTGCAGTGGATGACAAAGCCAACTGTCTCTGGGTGCAGCCAGTAAGCACAGCACCCGACTTCACGCTGCCTTTCCAATGTCCCCTCTTCAGCCCAAGGGGCCTGTCTTTTTCTCAAGTCAGAGGCCAGAGAAGCCACTGTTTCCACAATCCTCCAACAGTCTACTCTTGTAGAGGGGGCTTCCCACTTGCATGGTGGGAGAGGACCCTCAGGGACCAAAAGGAAAGATGATAAAAAGAAGAAATCTGGTTACACATCTCCTGACTGTGGTTCTAGCCCAGAAAAAAAAAAGCTGCTCTGATGTCCTGAGAAGCAGCTGAGTCACAGGGCTCATCAGCATGTGGGAGGTGGGTGGGGGCAGGATGGGCGGCAGGAGAACCAAGCATCACACGGGAAGTGTGGTTAGAACGAACAAGCCCACCCACACAGAAGCGACAAACCCAAAGATGGCGCAGACACACAAACCTGAGGTCCCGAGCCCGGTCCTCTGACAGTGCATCCTCATCCCGTGGGTGCATCCCTTGTCCCAGCAGCTGCTGGTACAGAGAGCCAGCCGCCACCGGCCCCCAATCCCCTCTCCCTGCTTCTTCAACCTGCCCCCCAGCATCGTCCAAGTCTCCGCTGGCTCCTCCCCTTTTTCCCAGAGAGGCTCCTCGGATGGGATTAACTCTGCCACCACCCCCCCAGCCCCGAAAACCAGGCAGGGAGGGGAGAAAAGGAAGTACCAGCAGCCGATCCATAAGGGGGAGGACACCCTGATGCACATACACATACTGTCTATCACCTCTTCGAAATGTCCCTTCCAACTTGCATGACACTCCTCGGCTATACAGTTCTAGCCTGTCTTTTAAACTTTAAAATCACTTGTTATCTTAAATTTCATTTTAACCGAGTTCCCCAGTGTAAAAATACTGGGGGGAGGGTGACACTGGGTGATGCGCCCCAGGAGTTGCCCCATGCCCACCCCCACTGTATCCTGGGTCCCTCAACTGGACAATGACTCTCAGCCCATCTCCTGGGGCAGCGTGCAAAGTGTTCTGGCTGTGTCAGAGCACCGGACAGTACTCTCTCAGGCCAGCCCCTCCACCTTCGCTCTGATTCCGTAACGAGACCACCCAGCGAGGAGCTCCTAGGCCATCACAACACACGGACAAGAAAGAGCACAGACTCTGTGCCCAGCAAGGGACCTCGGCCCACCGCACTCAGCACCCTGTCTTTCCAAAGCACGCCAATCTCCCCAGTGTCTTCCATTTCTAGTGCAAAATTCACAATATAACAATGCTAGCATTAAAAAAAAAATCACTCTAGGGTTTCCCTGGTGGCGCAGTGGTTGAAAGTCCACCTGCCGATGCAGGGGACACGGGTTCGTGCCCTGGTCCGGGAAGATCCCACATGCCACGGAGCGGCTGGGCCCGTGAGTCATGGCCGCTGAGCCTGTGCGTCTGGAGCCTGTGCTCCGCAACGGGAGAGGCCACGGCAGTGAGAGGCCCGCGTACCGCTAAAAAAAAAAAAAATCACTCTAGCCAACTGTTTTCACTTTTGCATGCTTTTTCATGCTTCTGTCCACATAATCAACCTTCTTAAAACTTTAAATTATACCGTAAACATGTTCCATGTTTTACACAGTCTTTATAATCAGTGTTTTTAATGGTTGCATAACATCACTGGACTGGATTTACTTTAATTTACTTAAACCATTTCTCCATGATTAGACAGTTAGATGATATCCAATTTTTCTAATGCTAAAATTCATCTTTTTATACTTTCTTCTTCTTTTACACATGGATACAGCATAAATTCCAAGTAGTAATAAGACTAGACCATAGGTTATGAACTTTTATAACTCTTGAGACTTATTACAAAATTGCTTTCTAAAAGTATTTCATCTGTTTACACTGCAGCCAGCAATATATTGTTACCACTGCTATAATCTTACATACATTGAATGTTCTCATTATTTTAAACTGTGGCTAGTTTAAATATATAATGACGCCCAGTGAGGCAGAACATTTTTTCATGTTTCTTTCCTGCTTCACATTCCTTCCTAGACTTTGTTAAATGCAAATCAAAATTATGTGTGGGGCTTCCCTGGTGGCGCAGTGGTTGAGAGTCCGCCTGCCGATGCTGGGGACACGGGTTCGTGCCCCGGTCCGGGAAGATCCCACATGCCGCGGAGCGGCTGGGCCCGTGAGCCATGGCCGCTAGGCCTGCGCGTCTGGAGCCTGTGCTCCGCGACGGGAGAGACCACAACAGTGAGAGGCCCGCGTACAGCAAAAAAAAAATTATGTCTGCACACAATCAATTTCTCTCTCTCTCTCTCTCTCTCCGTCTCCCTCCCTCCCTCTCTCCCTTTCTCTCTCTCTCTCTCTCTCTCTCTCTCACAAACACACACACCCCAAACAAAACCAAAACATAGCCTCAATAATTCAAATAAGTAAATAATGTACCTTAATGAAAAGTAAAATAGAAAAGCAGCAAGTTTTACACCATCTAGATTTCCTTAGTACATAAGTTGCTAAGTATGTGCTGCAAATGAAAATATGTTAAACATTTAATTGATGGTAAAAGTGAAACTTTCTTTTTTGGCCACGAGGCTTGCAGGACCTTAGCTCCACCACCAGGGAGGGATCAAACCCGGGCCCCCTGCAGTGGAAGCACAGAGTCCTAACCACTGGACCCCCAGGGAATTCCCAAAAGTGAAACTTTTAGAAAGAAAGGGACTTTGCATGGAGTTACCCATTGATCAGCAGCAGAAAATGGGTTAAATGTCAACTAACCTGAGATTCCTGGCCAACACTTGCCAGCTGACGAGATGAAGCTCATGAGAAAAGAATCAATGGCTGCCCACCATCGAATGAGATGAGGGCACAGGGCAACATCCCCGTCCCAAATATCTCCTCTACTGCCCATTCCAGTGCCTTAGCCTCCATCATTGGAGGAGATTCAAGCCAAGAATAAAATTCTCCCCTAGGAATTGAGACAACGGACATCTTTATCAGGCTCATTAATATACAAGAGACAACTTGGGACCAAGACCCTAAGAAAATAAAACAGGTCCCAATGGGAGACTGAGGCATTAGCAGGGAAGAAAAGTAAGAAGGCTGTCTCCTGAAGACACTTCTTAGGATTCTTATACACCCGGGACAGTAGTATGAAGCTTTCCGGAAAGCAGTTTGGCGGTATGGAACTAGAGAGCTAAAAATGTTCCTATCCTTTGACCCAGAAATTCTACTTCTAGAATTCCATCCAAGTAAATAAACAAAGATGCAAATACAGATTAAAATAAAACGATGGCAACTGCAACAGAATTTATAATGACACAAAGTTGGAAATGCCCTGAATGTCCAAATGATTAGGGAATAATAAATAAATGATAGGACATTCACATAAGGAAATGTTGCACAATCTTTAAATAGCTATGTTTTCAAGTACTTAAATGAATTAGGGAAAAACTCCCCCAAAGCTTTTTAAAGATACAATAATATGATTTAGAATATGATCCCAGTCCTCTAAGTGTTATTTTTATATTTCTATATTTGGATAGAAAAAGACTGACATCCAGGCACCAAAATATTAGCAGTTATTATCTATGGGTCACAGGCGAATTTTATCTACATCTATATTTTTTTCCATATTTTCCAAATTTTCTACAGGAAATGTATGTTACTTTATTTAGCAGGAGGGAAAGCTATTTAACTCCACACACACCCCCATCCCCAGCGTACAAGTTTTGAAGCTGAGAATAAATTTCTCAATTCTCCAGAGTCCATAAACAAGCAAAACCTTGCCTAAATTATAGCGCTCTTGGGACTTCTTAGTGTTTCAAAGTCTTAAATCTAATAAAGCCATGTTCCACCCATCACAATTGCCCAAAAGCTAGGTACCTACCCAGAGGGCTTTGGCACCCTCCAATCTAGTTGGGTTTCTTACTTCCTACTGCAGCCTCCCCTAAGAGAGGCTCTTTCTTTCCTCTGTGGGTTTGGTTGCTTGCTCTCTGGTCTTCATAAGAGGAGCCCCTGTCCTGGGGGTCAACTGAAGATTCACACGCAAGTCAGTGCCTCTTTCCCTCTGCTGTCACAGAGCCTGCAGCACAGCACGCCCAGAAGCAGGGATCCCGACAAAGACCGCCCCCAGTGGAATTTTCCTTCTTGAAACTTGGGAGATGGGACTGACGTCTTTAAGTTAAATGTCTAGATAGATGAATGAAAAGATGGATAAATAGGTTTGTTTGTTTTTTTAAAGAAAAGCTGAAGAGCTATTAAGTCATGAAAGCTCTGGCTTACTGTACTGGACGTCTTATTTGTAAGATCTCTAATGTGGCTTGAAGATACAGGAAAAAATAGAGTGAAATAAGGGAGATTCATCTGCCTGATCGTCCTGATACTTCTGAGGTAAATACAAACGAAAGAAAGTGGTAACAGAGATAAAGCCTTAAATGGTATTGGCCCCAGGATGAAATAATCCACTATAATCTCCGGTAGTTCAAAACTCAAAAAAAATGAATCCATTTTTAAATTTGGTTAGTTTTCTTTCATGTTACTTGGCGTTGGTAGGAAAGGGAATTTCAGGGATTTTGCTCCAGAAAAAAGTCAGGAAGGCATTTCTTAACATAGGGGGGCGGGCAGGGATGCAGTGAATACATCTGCTATCTTGTCATCCTCGAGGGTAGAAGCTGGGGACAGTAGCATCAGTGGTAAGTGAGAGAGATACCAACGGGAAATTGCTAAATTTCTACAGGAGAAAGTTAATCGGGAAATGACATCAGAGGTCTCAGAGAGGACTGTAATAAGCAGACAGGAACTGGGGTGTGGAGGTTAGAAAACGTATGGGCCATGCGAACAGAGAGTTCGCCTACGTTTCCATCTCCCACCTACATAAGGGTGCATTGCGGAGGGCCCACGAATGCCCAGGGCCCAGTAAAAACACAAGAATGACAACAACAAAACGCAAGCGTGGCTATTTCAGAACACAGCTCTGAGACTGGGCCAAAGACTCTAACTTCCAAAATGTGGGAACATCTATTTCCTACCGTTATAACATCATTGCATTCTGAAGCTGTCATAAGAGCACATTCCAAATAGTCTGAGGCCGGAGAATAATGTGAGAGAGAAGAGAATGTACTGAGAACACATTCCCAGCGGAAGAGCAGGCTGAGGAATGCAGACATCCACAGGAATGGGGAGGGTAAGAGAAGGTGCCCGACGTCCCCTGGACCCAAGAACTCTCAATGGAGGGCAAGAGACACTCGAGGAATTTTTTAAGGGAAAAAAATACTGGGGAAACGGCAGGAACGACTGACTACTGATACCACTCCAACAAAGATGCCAAAAACAGCAAAATGTTTTAAACTCTCATGACCTCTCTGAACAGCAGCCTCATCTATGTTCAGAGAAAATGTGGTTGTTAGAGCTGGTACGAAACAAAGGCCTGCCCTTGACTCAAGGCTCCTGAGACCACCTCCCCCCAGAGAGTTCACCAGCACAGGGACCAGCCCCAGGGGTTATAAATAGCCTATAAAAACTGAGATCTCCCACTTTCAGAATCCAGTTACTAGGCTCTGCGATTCAGTTTCACTGTAGGCCTTCTTACTGGTAGCAGCACAGCAGCTTGATCCTCATTTAAAAGTTGGACCTTCTCACCCACTAAAACCTGGGCAGTAGGAGAAGGAAAAGAAAGCATCCTTATTTCTCCTACGTACTAGCCTCTTGCAAAGTGCTGGGGGAAAGTCTAAAGGGCCTAAGCCTGCCTGTCTAAAGGCACTGTGCTCCCGTCTCTGGATGTAGGGACGGAGGAGGGGCCAGGTGTGGCACAGAGCACGTGCAGGTGACAAGGATGGGTCTGAGAGCACCTGACAAAACTCTTGCAAGAACGTGACCATTGAAGAGGGCGAGCTGATTTCAGTGACCCACCGCTGTGCTGGAGTGAAGTGAAAGAGCATGGGTTTTAGAGTCAGACAGACTCTACTAAACTCTTCAGGGCCTATTTCCTCATTTGCAAAATGGAGAGAATCGCTGTACCTACTTCAAAGGCTGCTGTGTGCATTAAACGAAATAATGTGTGAAAAGTGCTTAAGAGAAGGTCTGGCAAAGACTAAGCACTGTGTAACTGTTGTTGTTAAGATGTGTGCGTGTGTAGTGCCTAACAAGTAGTACATGACCCCCACCGCTAGGTAAAACAGGGCAGGCAGCTGCCAGGCCGTCTCCACCCCTCAAATATCAATAAGTAAATCCCACTGGGAAGGCAGTGATGCTGGAATCCCTCACAAGGAAAGGCATAAGCTGCCCTCACTCTTCCGTCTACTCCAAGAACCATCATATTTCTCAAAAATTCTCCAAAAGGTTAAAAAAAAACAGTCCAAGAGATCCACCGACTCCATCTCGGCCAGGCCGCCCTGAAAGTTAACAGAACCAGGCCTGCGATCAGAAGCCAAGGAAGGGTCTCTGGAACCACCTCCTGCTTGGCCCGTGGGAGAATCACAGCAGCAGAGATCCGCTCCGCAAATGGATGGCCAAAAGGGAGTCCCAGCTGATGGGAGGGCGAGCCCTTGCCTTTGCACTTTAACCCCAGTGTTTCTCAGGGAGAAGGGGACCTCCCTTTTTATCTCAGCTGGCCGGGCAGAAAGGCAGCCCAAGGTTCGGAGTAAAGGTCAACGGGGCCTTCCAATTACTGTCCCACTACAGCAACCACAGACCTGTGCAGAACAGGAAGCAAGGGACCCCATCCCTCCCACCCCCCCAGCCGCCCTATCTCCCTGCCCTGGCCAATTCCCTGGCTCAATGATGGGCTTATATCAGGCAGGGCTAGGATTCTGCTCTTGCCATAGACTGTCACACTATACTATTTGCTCTGCTTCCTTCCTTTCCAAAGCCTAACAGATTGGATTGCCGGAGTCCTCTCCAGCTCACTAAGACACGTGGAAAACTGAAAGTAAGGCAGCGGTGGGAAGAGGGAAGAGGCCGAGCAGTGCAACGCCCCAGCACCCAGATCATCTTTTCCAAGCTCCACGACTATTTCGGCCAAAATAACTACTTACTACAGTTTCAGGGAAACAGAAGAGATATTTACTGCACTGGGGCCACAGCAAGATCTAATTTGAGGCGTTCCAGCCTTTTAACAGGGGCATCACCCACCTGCCCACCTGCCCCATGAAGAAGACCGGAGATCAATGAAGCGCCAGCTGGATGCACATCCGGAGATCGAGGCCCTGCTGCTCCCGGCTCCCTAGTGATCCGGCACTTTCAGCAAATACCAGGCAAGCCAGCAGGAGGGCTGCTCGGAGGGGCGTGGCTGGCTGATGGGGCTGATGACTCTCCCTTCCCATTTTTGCAGAATCTCTCCATAAGTAGGCACCGACCAAAATCTGCATGTCTCCAGGATTTATTTTAACCTCGGGGGAAAACACCAAGCTGAATTACGGTTCAGCACACTACGATGACACGATGGGATTTGCAGGCCCTACTTCCTTATACAGAAGAGAGAAGCAAGCACCAACGACAAGGGAAAAGCAGCACTGCAAACGCTCCACCAAAGGGCAGGTGGTTCCCCAATCCGTACCTAGGTGATTACCCATCTGTGAAGTGAGCGAGGCTCCCATCAGCAGGAGTGCCACAGGCACTTTGTCAAAAGCGGGGCTTACAAGGAGGGCGAAGGATACTTAGGTCCAAAGGCAACACCCAAGGGAAGCCCTCATGAACCAGCTCAGACGAGCTTGAGGCACCACCACATTGCTCTCTTCTCTTCCATTTGGATAGGGGCAAACAATTCATGCTCTTGCAGTCACTCACTCATTCATTCAAGAAACGTTTACTTAGCACCTAGTAGATGTCACACACCAGGCTGGCCAGAGTCTAGACTGCAAGCTATGGCAAAAGTCACCTGCGTTCAAGTGGCACACGATGGTGAAGGCTAATATATGAAAGGATGAGAAGGCTGTTAAAGCTTCCTCTGGCTCCTCAAAGCATGCTGGATCTCTATTTTAGCAACTGCATTGTGTCCTAGGCCCTGGTGTACCGCCTGTGTCCTGCATCAGATGGTAAAATCCCTGAAGACAGAGGCTACATTTTGTTCATCACTGCCTTTCGTGTCTTAATTACCCAATAAATGTCAGCTGAATGCAACTGAAATAGAAAACACTTCGATTCTTTCAAGATCTTTGGCTTTACTGTTTCTGAAGGCTTTGCCACCAAACAGAAAAATGATGAAGTTCCAGAAAGGAGGAAAAAGGGGATTGACTTAGATATATTAAGAAAACAGAAGTACAATTTTGGAACTTCAGCCCAAGTGCAACGACCACTCAGCGGACCGAGATGCCTCGGGGGTGTCACCGCTGGCGTCCCGGTAGAATGCCTGTCCCCTCCCCTTCTCTCCCCGTCCCTTACTCTCCTCTGAAAATCCCCATCTGGAGTCCTAAAGAAAGACGGGGCGGGTGGCGGGAGAAGGAGTTAGAAGGGGAAGATCCACCAAGTAGCAAGGAAACCTTACAGCGAGAGGCTGGGGGTTCAGGGCTGGCCTGGGGAGGAGATGGGTCCGCCCCCAGTGAGGTGGCCCTGCCGCGCCTCCTCTCACACTTTTCGTTCCTACAAGGCCTCTCTTTTCCCTTTCCTCTTTTTTTTTTTTTTTTTTTTTTAATTCGATGAAACAGCAGTCTTCAGAACTGGAGCAGAAGAGGGAAGCGGGTAAGGTGAGGAAGAAGTTCGTGAGACAGACAGACAGCTCCCCTCGAGTGCTTTCCCGACCTGACACCAAATCTGCATTTTAGTACAGTTTCCTTTAAGTCACCCCAGAGTCCGTAGTTCCAGAAGCCCGAGGGGCCCGGGCTGGACCCAGAGGGAAGGGAGGTCTCTCCCTCGGGAGGCTTCTAGGCCTGCCACGGAATAAGGTAATAGGGGAAGAGAAAGATGAGTCTCCACGGCCCCATCCGTGCCCCCGGGGACTTGCCTGCACGTTCTCTGCTCGTCTCCCCTACCCGCTGCCCGGGAAGTCGTGGCCAAGCCGGGGCCCCAGCGCCAGAACCCGCGGAGAAGTTTCGCCGCTGCAAACGTGAGAAAACGCAGCTCCGCAGAACACCCGCCCCCACCCTGCCCGCGGCCCCACCCCGCAGCCCGACCCCTGGCGGCGGCGACCTTGGACACCCCGGGCGCTCCCGAGGGCCGGAGGAGGGGCTGCCCTGCGGGCTCGCCGGGGGCCACCGGAGGCGGCCGGGGGACGGCGGCGACCTCCCCTCGGCCCGCAGCGGGGCGCTTCCCCCCCGCCCGCCCGCCCCTCGGCGCCGCGCCGCTCCCGGGCCCGCGCGGGCGCCCCACTTACCCCGCCGCGCAGGGCCGGGGCTCGGGCAGGGTGCGTGGGTTACATCGGGCTGGGAAGCGCCTCTGGGGCCCCGCGGGCCGTCGCTCTCGGGGGATGTCTGTCGCCGCCAAACTCTCGGGGTCTCTCGCGCCTCTCGCTCCTCTCCCCCTCCCCTCCCCTCCTCCCTCCCCTCCCCTCCTCCCTCCCTCCTTCTCTCTTGTCCTTCGGCTCTTTTTTCCGGGTTAATTACGTTTCGCATTAAAGCAAAACCCAGCCCCGGATGTGAGTACAATGCTCCGCCGAGCCCGCCGGGGGCGGAGAGGGGTGCCGGGGCGCCGCGGGCTGGGAGGGGGCGCGGCCGGGCGCGCGGGCTGCGCGGACTCGGCGGGGGCGGGGCGCCCGGAGGCGGCCCCAGAGGCTGCGCGCCGGGACCACCTCGGCCGCGCAGGGGGAGGCCCTGCTTCCGACGCCGGCCCCGGGCAGCAGGTGTCCGAGTGGGAAAGGGGCCCGGGGATGAGGGCATCCTAGAAACAGGGAGACGAGCCGGCCCGCGGGCTCACTCTTTACCCCGTTTATTCTTCCCAAAGCACCCACCTCCTCCCCCAGCCCGCTCCAGCGACTTCAGCCGGGCCTTCCCCGGACCCAGAGCCTTCAGCCATCGGGGTTTAGGGTTAGCGTCGAAGGAAGCATCTCAGATTCTCCCGGGTTGTCATGCATGTGCCCCAGGAGCCCAAGGGGGTCGTAAGTTCTAACGGCTGTATAGAGACTTTTTCAGAGCGTGGCGCAAAGACGCCTTTCCAGCCCTCGGAGCGGGAGGGAGCTCTGGGGGAAAATGGGAAACAGACAAGCAGCAGGTATTAAGTAATATTGCCAAGAGGAACCGAAGAGAACTGTCGGGTGCCGGTGCAGCCTCTGCGTTACCGCATTTGATCCACGCTGCAACCCAATGGGTATCAATCCCCTTCACGATGAGGAAACCGAGACTCAGAGACGTTAAGGAATTTGCCCTGGGTCCCACAGTTATCAATGGCTCGTCTGTCAGGTTCTGATGCCGGCCTCGCACGTGAGGAGATAGATATTTCAATGTACATGCAGCCAGGCACATAACATTCGAAACACAGAAACGTAGTGGATTGACCCTGGGATGGAGGACCGACCGGGAGCTGCGATTCCTGGGGATTTTGGTGCAAATATAGTTGATAAGGTCGAGTCCTAGTTACAAGGCTTTGACGCAGGGGAGGGCCGAAGAAGACCCTTGAGGCTAGATGGGCGGGATTGCGGGAAAGGCGGGTCCACGTCCCAGTGTTGGAAGGGGAAAGGCAGACTGTTAAAAAGTCTCCAGGACCTGAGGCAGCAAAGCCTGGGGGAAGGGGGGCCCCAGCTAGACGAGCTGGGAGGAAGGTAGGACCACGCTCAGCACACACCCCGAAAGCACTAGTGATGAAACCACACGTTTCCTCTTCCATTTTGATTGCCAAAGCAAAAATGAACCGACCTGCTCTCTCAGGTGTGAAAAAAGACTGTTAGCTTTAGAACATTTTGCTTTGAATGAGGAAGGAAAGGGGGACACAAGAAAAAAAGCATTTCCTTTGAAATAAATACATCAACGTCAATTTTTTTTTTCTATCTGCTCATGAAGATTTTTGCCACTCACATAAATTTCAGGCAGAGCATATACTCTGGAACCAGATGGCCTGGGTTTGAATCCCAGCTGTGGTGCTTATTAGCTTTGATCCCAGAGCAAGTGACAACTTTTCCGTGCCTTATTTTCTACATCTGGATGCTTACAAAGAGTGAATGAGCTAACATTTGTAGAGTGTTTGGATTACTGCCGAACGTGAAGTAGGTGCTATGTAAATGTTTTTGAATTTAAAAATTAGATTATGGTTTTCAGGGTGAAATGGAACAAAATTCCATCCAGCTCCCAGTAAATCCGACTGGAACGGATGGTTTCCAGTATGAGCCATGAGGTAAAAAGTCTCAGATTCCATGGTACGGTTCATATTAAAACCCATAAAACTCTAGTCCCTGTGGGGCCTGCCTGAGTTACTCAGTCACAGAGCCACAAATATTTCCTGAGCACTACTGTATTGGATGCCTGGGAGGCAAAGCTCGGCAAGAGGATGCAAGTGTTACTAGGAGGTTGACGCAGCCTTGTATCCCTCCTGGAAATGCCATGAAAATGGCACAGAGTGACAAAGTACTACCAACTTTTAGAGGAACAAGACGTGTGTGTGCGCGCACACGCATCTGTTTGGGAGGGGTCCTCGAGAAGGAAGTAGTGAATTTTGAAATGGGCCTGGGAAGATGGGGACAATTTGACTCCAGTGTTGGGCTGGGGTGGGGGTGGGGGTCATCGGTGCACTTTGGATGATGCTTGTACTTCACTGGGATCCCCGTTTACTGCCACATTTATCGCTAGCCAGGACCTGGCCCCAGTTAGATTACAATTTCTTCTCTGACTCCTGTACTTCCACTGTTTCCTCAGAGGTCTCCTGCCACCCCCTCCCATAGTGGCACAGAGTGTCAATTGAGTCTGAGCCCTGCTGTGGTCCTTTTGCCATCCCCGACACATTTTGAAAGTATTTACATTGACTGATTTTATGCATTCATTTTTTTCAGTGCAATAAACAGCCCGGTCGTGTGAAAATGTGACTCCGCCTATTGGGAAAGGAATGTCAAAAAAGGCCTTTCACATCAGCTATCTCAGTCCCCTGTTGTATCAGTGCAAGATGAGGTTCAACAATTTGCTGAAGGTTTTGCAGCTGGTTAGTGGCAGAGGTGTTTCTGGAACCCAGGGTTGACTACCCCCAGAATCTTCTAGTATTGATGTGGGAACCTTTCCATGAAGATGGAGACTACTGGTCCAGAACCTAAGAATTTAAACAGAGAGCCTTATACTCTATACCCATTTATGCACTTTTCTATTCATTTTCAGTGTTCACGGCTGGGTAACTAGATGCCCTAACGACCTTCAGTGGTGAGCCAGGGCACCCTCTGGGGAACCACATTGTGCTCTGTCCTTAGAGACACCCATTATGGAAGGTACCAGGCTGAAGCTGGGGCCGGGTAGTTCCGTTGGGGCAAGTGTGGGACTGAAGAGGCCAAGGTCAGTGGTTGATCCTGGTTCAGGCCAGTTAACTTCTCACAAAGATGAATTGCTCCAAGGCCATCGCACTTCTAGTGCTAGCTGGTCATTTTATAAAGAGTTGTTGTTGGTTTCAATAGCAAAGTACCATCCATTTCTAGAAAGATTACTCAAACTACTATTGTTCTATTCAGTCCTATTCATTCAGCAAACAATGATCTGAACCTATTAACTATTTTTCCTCCCATATATCTTGTACTTACTTATTTTCCAGGTACTTACTAAATGTTAATTGCTTTACCTGTATTGTCTCATTTAAGTCTTACAACACTGGGAGTAAGGTGCTACTATTTCCCCATTTTATAGATGAGATGACTAAAACATGGAGACCAAGCCTAGTTACAAGCCTGTGCAGTCTGACGCCAGAGCTGGCCCCCTCTTAACCACCAAGTTTGTGAAGGATTCAGGAAGACCTAAAACAAGACTCTTTCCCTCCACATTTTCGATAATTATCATCATTTAGAATCTCCTTTCCTTTTCAGCTAGCAATTTCATGTCCAAAGATTTGTCCTACAGAAAGTCATCCAGAGATATATATAGTATAGATGGAGTGTATGTTTATGTGTATATACGAAGTGTATATCTGGAATATATATACACATTTGCTGCAGCATAATAGTGAAATTTGGAAATCACTGTCATTCTCATCAGCAAGGGATTGAACAGGTAAATACCATTAATGCCATATAATCTTATACTATGCAGCTGTTAAAAAAGAATGAAAAATACTATATGAAATTTTTTCTATATGAAAAAATACTAAATAAGTAGGACTAAAAAAGGTACAAAGGTGCCTGTATAATACAATCCCATTTCTGTAAATAAAAACCGTACATATTTATTACATGAAAAAAAGTCTAAAAGACTATATTCCAAGCTGTTAGCCACAGTTCTCTTAGGGCATGGGAAGAGGGACTATAATGACGAATCTCACTTTCTAAGAGATGTATTTCTGTAATGTGTTATTTTTTGCAATAAGCCTGCATACATTTGCTTATCAAAGAAGAACAATAATGATTTAAAATTATAATGAAAAATTTTAAAGTTCTATGAGAAAGCATATTGCACCCCTCAAGAATCCCATCATTTAGTTGGGAGGGAATGTAACAAAAAGAAAGAAAAGCCAGAAACTAATACAAGCAGGGACCAGAGGAAAGAGAAAATTTTGTGGGAAAAAAACAACCAGCTGGGGTTGAGAGGTGCAGGAGAAAATGTATGAAGGAGATAGCACTTTGGAAGAACCTTGAAGGTGTAGATAGTGTAAAATGTGGAAGGTGGAGAGGGGCATGAGAATAAATGGGTTCCAGATAAAGTGACTGGTCCTGTGCAGCTGGATCACGGTGGAAGCAGGGAGGATGAAGAAAGGATTTTCATGGGGAACAAAACAGGAAAGAAAGGTTGCTGGAGGGTCTTTATTGCTAAGCAAATGAGTTTTACTTTATTACTTTAGGCTTTAAGAGCCACTGGAGGTTTTTGAACAAGGAAGTGACACTATTAGAAGTAAATAAGCAGCAATTTCATAGTTCATGACTGCATGGTAACTGGTCTCTTAACACCAAGCTGCCCCCGGGATGTGACTCCTGACTCTGTTCCTAATTAACTCTATAGCCATGGACCAGTTACTCTGCTTCTCTGTATTTCTATAAAATGGAGAAGGTGGTGATAACAGATAACTTATCTCATACCATTGTTGTTGAGACTGAGTTAATGTTTTTAGGGCACATGGTAATTGCTGAGAATGTCTGTTAAACTTTAACAATCAGCTTCATACCTTTGAATTAAAATCTTTGCATTTCATTTTGAAACTTTTATTACAAAGAGCTAACATTACACGACAAATTATTAACTATTCTTTCTTCACACTTTCACAGGTTTATAGATTATTAATCCCATTTTACAGGTGGAAGACTTTAGGTTTTTAAGGAGAGATACAGTCTCAGAATCACATAGCAAGACATGAGTTGTGAGTCCTGGTTCAGTGGTCCCTGCCCAACACCCAAGGTTATCGCTTAGCTCCAATTCTCAGAGCCTTGAGAATAGGAAAAATAGAAGAACATTGGCAATTTCTGTTTATAGGATAAGGGAAACAGCAGTAAGGGACAGTAATAAAATAAAATCAAAAACGAGAAAACTTTGGTGAAATACCTGGAAGTGGGTATATAAAAGCAAATTTATAATATATATATATATGTATATATATCTGGTGAATTATGCTACTTCCAAAATAAAAAAAGTCTTATGTTGAAGACCTAACTCCCAATCTGACTGCATTTGGAGGTAGAGCTTTTAGGAGGTAATTAAGGTTGAATGAGTTTATAAGGGTGAGGTCCTAATCCGATAGGATTGATGGCCATATAAGAAGAGGAAGAGATCTCTCTCCCTGTCTCCACAGCACCAAGGAAAAGCCGTGTGAACACACAGCAAGAAGGCAGCCGTCTGCAGTCCTAGAAGAGAGCTCTCACCAGAGCACAACCATGCTGGCAACCCCATCCCGGACTCCAGCCTCGAGACTGTGAGAAAATAAATTTCTGTTGTTTAAGCCACCCACTCTATAGTACTTTTTATACTCATACATATATATAGACATTACATATGTACACATGCCAAAATTACTTCCCTGTGACAAAGTTTGGAAAACATTGCCATACTGCTAAATCTGACACTAATATAAACTTCAAGATGAAGTGCCCATCCAGTCCCCAGAAATAAGAGTCTCCTGGCTAAATGCACCATTCCTATTGATTCATGCTGATGACATTGTTTTTCCGTCAGTTTGAACAAGGGCAGTGCGTGGCTTGGAATCCTGCATCCCCAGTGATGCCCTGTGATTACAAGGGAAGAACTGGGCCTGTGGAATCAGAGAGAGAGAATGAATAGATAGATACCTTAGGTTTGGATCCTTGACCTTGCTTTCGTACTAAATTTTATTTTTGACCTTGCTTTCGTACTAAACTTTATTTTTGCTTAGACTAGTTTCATAATTCATTTCCTCAGCACCGAGCCTACATAGGGGCTACGATTAGAAAATACTGGGGGTGAATATAGTTAAAGTTGGCAACTGGAATAAACTATCTGGTTTATTCCAAGAGATGCCTACGGTGGTCAGTGAAGCGGGTTGGCTGTTACTTCAGTGGTTCACAACACAAGCTGGTGATTACAAAACAAAGAAAATCAAACAGGGTATTTGAACAGATGGATTTATGTCCTTCCATTATTTTGTCAATAGGAAATATATGCACACTGTACAAAGTTCAAAAGGTACAAAAGACGAAGAGTGAACAAATATTTTATTTTTAAAAATCCTTTCTAGGGGCTTCCCTGGTGGTGCAGTGGTTAAGAATCCACCTGCCAATGCAGGGGACACGGGTTCGAGCCCTGGTCCGGGAAGATCCCACATGCTGCAGAGCAACTAAGCCCGTGTGCCACAACTACTGAGCCTGCGTGCCACAACTACTGAAGCCCACGCGCGTAGAGCCCATGCTCCGCAACAAGAGAAGCCACCGCAATGAGAAGCCCGTGCACTGCAACGAAGAGTAGTCCCCGCTCACCACAGCTAGAGAAAGCCCAAGCACTGCAGTGAAGACCCAATGCAGCCAAAAATAAAATAAATAAATTTATAAAAAGAATCCTTTCTATTTCTGAATTTTCCAAGTATTCTTCAATAAGCATGTATTATTTTATGATTATAGGAAAAAAGTTAGCTTTATAAGCAAATAAGTAGTTTTTAATTTAAAAGTACCTCAGAGATCTCACAGCTGCTTTGTGATTTAAAAAAAAAGCAACAACATACCACTAACTTTATCTTCAACTTAAAAATAATTGTGTCTTTGATATATTTTTCAAGAAATTTTAGCCAACTTTATATCCATTCATGTTAAAATTCCTGCCACTGGAAAAGATATACAAAACTGACTGGCAGTTTGAACCCCGAGAACTGGTGAAACTCAGTATGAGTCACTGGAGACAGGTAATTTGCTAAGGAATCTTCTTTCAAATTTCATCATAATTTGTATGATGACTCCACATGTCTGTCAAATGTTGTTAAAATTAAGTGCAACACTAGGCTGGAGGTTTTAGCCCAGTCCAGCTTAACTCCTTCATTTGGGAATTAAACAATAACAAGCTAGATTTATCCTTACACCTAATGCATAATAATGGTTTGGATGTTCTAATTGGATAAGTGGCCAAATGCTCCCTCCAGCATATAATGTCAGAAGATGTCACAGTCCTGGTTTGCTGCAAAGACATATCAGGAACATGGTCCTGACCTGGAGGTCACTTTCTGGTAACTTCAATCCCTGGAACAGAACTCTGAACCGGAAGGTAAGAGGGGAAGAGCCTCTGCGTAGCCAAGTCCCTGCATCTTCATGGAGATGCCTTTCTTAGGCTTGCTCTTTGATTCTGGCTGAAGATCTAATTTCAGAAGGTCCAGTTATGTGGTTTCCCAGTCCTCAGTGGATTAGAAACCAAGAAAATAGAAAAGCTTTTGGAGATAGAGGAGGGAGGGGGAGGAGAAAATGACTTTATTCAGTTCATTCCTCTCTGTAAGTGGATTAGCTGACAACAACAAAGGAGGAAAAGAAAAGTTAACAAGCATTCCCAGAGGTTATATGTGCCCCAGACAATCTTCTTCATTCCCAGTGATGACCTTGGGGTAGGAAAATGTGTTTGAACTGTGATCAGAAATTTTCATATAGTTTTGCTGGTAAGAGTGGTGGCCTCTGGGGAGGAGATCACTTCTGAGGTGGTAAGAGGAGACAGGACTCATTCATGCTCTTGTATATTTTTCAGATATTATATTATGTGCATTATGTTTCTTTTGCTTAATAATAAATATTTTAAAAATTATTTAATGCCCCCACAAAAGACTTTACAAATAAAAAGTACATAAAAGAAAAGTGTATAAATTAAAATATTGGAGACCTGAAACCATAAAACTCTAGAAGAAAACATACTGGGTAAGCTCCTTGACATTGGCCTTGGCAATGATTTCTTTGGATTTAACACCAAAAGCAACAAAAGGCAACAAAAGCAAAAATAAACAGGTGGGGCTACACCAAACCAAAAAGCTTCTGCACAGCAAAGGAAACCATCAACAAGATGAAAAGGCAACCTACGGAATGGGAGAAAATACTTGCAGTATCTGATAAGGGATTAATATCCAAACTATGTAAAGAACTCATACAACTCAACAACAAAAAAACAAACAATCTGATTTTCTAAATGGGCAGAAGAACTGAATAGACATTTTTCCAAAGAAGATATACAGATAGTCAACAGGTACATGAAAAGATGCTCAACATCACTAATCATCAGGGAAATGCAAATCACGACCACAATGAGATGTCACCTCACACGTATCAGAATGGCTATCATCAAAAAGACAGCAAATGACAAGTTGGCAAGGATGTGGAGAAAAGGGAACCCTCGGGCACCGTTGGAATGCAAATTGGTATAGCCACTATGGAAAACAGTATGGAGGTTCCTCAAAACATTAAAAATAGAACTACCATGTGACCCAGCAGTTCCACTTCTGTGTATATATCAGAAGGAAACAAAATCACTATCTCAAAAAGATATCTGCACTCCCATGTTCACTGCAGCATTAGTTACAATAGCCAGGACATAGAAACAAAGTGTCCACTGACAGATGAATAGATAAAGAAAATGTGGTGTATATATATATATAGAGAGACACACATATATATATAGACATGCACATATATAGAGAGACACACATATATATATAGACACACATATATATATAGACACACATATATATATATAGACACACATATATATATGCAATGAAATATATTCAACCATAAAAAAGAAGGAAATCCTGCCATTTGCAGCAACATGGATGGACCTTGAAGGCATTATGCTAAGTAACGTGAGACAGAGAAAAACAAATGCTGTGTGATCTCACTTATATGTGGAACCTGAAAAACCACTGTGGAAAACAATATGGAGGTTCCTTAAAAAACTAAATATAGAACTACCATATGACCCAGCAATCCCACTACTGGGCATATACCCTGAGAAAACCATAATTCAAAAAGAGACATGAACCACAATGTTCATTGCAGCACTATTTACAATAGCCAGGACATGGAACCAACCTAAATGTCCATCAACAGATGAATGGATAAAGAAGATGTGGCACATATATACAATGGAATATTACTCAGCCATAAAAAGAAACGAAATTGAGTTATTTGTAGTGAGGTGGATGGACCTAGATGGAATCTAAAAAAAAAAATGGTACTGATGAACCTAGTTGCAGGGCAGGAGTAAAGATGTAGACATAGAGAATGGACTTGAGGACACGAGGTGGGAGGGAGAAGCTGGGGTGAAGTGAGAGTAGAATCGACATATATACACTACCAAATGTAAAATACTTAGCTAGTGGGAAGCAGCCGCATAGCACAGGGAGATCAGCTCCGTGCTTTGTGACCACCTAGAGGGCTGGGATAGGGAGGGTGGGAGGGAGATGCAAGAGGGAGGGGATATGGGGACATGTGTATGCATATGGCTGATTCACTTTGGTGTACAGCAGAAACTAACACAGTATTGTGAAGCAATTATACTCCAATAAAGATCTATTAAAAAACCAAAACAAAACAAAACACTGAACTTATAGAACCAGAGAACAGATTGGTGGTTGCCAGAGGTGAGTGTGGGGTGAGGGGAATGTGTGAAGGTGGTCAAAAGTGCAAACTTCCAGTTATAAGATAAAAAGTTCTGGGGATGGATGGCATGGATGGAGGCGTGGTAACTATAGTTAACAATACCATATAGTATATTTGAAAGTTGACAAGAGAGGAGATCTCAGAAGTGCACATGACAGAAAAGAACTATCATTTACTCTTCAGTTCTGATGTGAAGAACGGTGCTTCTTCACTCTCCTATTTCAACTGCTACAATGCCTGTGACCGAGCTTCCCCCCACGTGGATGTGGATTTCCTTTGCCATTTGGGCATATGGTTGCTTGCATTCGTTTTTTTGCCTTTCTTGAAAAGAAAGTCCACCAGAACCTTGGCTGGTATGCGAGAAAGTCATTCTCCAGAGGCGTGCACATCAGGGTCGGTTAGATCATTTCAATTAGTTACCATCCAACCCTGAGGTAGCTCCCCTGTACTCAGAAGGTGACAAGCAAGCATTACAGTAGAAGTCAAGTCCGTTAGAACGCAGCTTGTAATTACATGTTACTGAGTACACCATGAGTCAAATCATGGTCACTGAAATGTAACTGCATGTTCTTGAAATAGTTCAGCCTTGAGGTCTAGGGGCTGATTTATTTCTGGTTTCTCCAATTTAAGCCCTTGTATCATGACCGTGGAACTACCACCCAGTTCAGAGTAGATGGGCAACATGATGAGGTACAAAGAACTGGGGACTATGAATCCTCTGAAATTGTAGGTAAAATGATGCCTACATTTTTTATTGTTCAAAGTTGTAAAGTATCTAGAAATATAAGGATTATGAGCAGAAATGTTGGGAAGACAATGATATGAAGTGGTGGTCTTCAAACTTTTCTTTACCAACACCCCCTAAAAAAATGATAGAAAACTACATATCTCTGCAAACATTTTTAAATTGACATGTGTAACTTTTAATCACAGGTTTGAGTGGTTCAAAGGATGTATTCTGTTAGCATGGTATATTTTAAAATAAAACTGTCATATAGCTTTTTTTTTTTTTTTTTTTTGGCCATGCTGCAGGGCTTGTGGGAACCGGCAGTGAAAGTGTGGAGTCCTAACCAGTGGTCCACCAGGGAATTCCCATAACACTCTTTTAAAATGTATCCAACAGAATCTAATACTACAGTAACTTGACACTTACCATCATTCCTTTTTCAAAATGAACAAGCAGTTCTTTAACAGTCAGAAATGTTAAATCCTTTCCTTTCTTCCTGGAACTCTATATTCATTCCACTTCTTCTAAACAAGTGTATCCAAATGTCATATTTTTATGACATCTTTTATTATTTGAACATCTCTTATTGATTACCCCCTCACATTTTCTGAAGCAAAAATGCCTATGTAAATAGATTTCCAATTTAAAATTTTAAAACTATCCCACGACCTTCAGGCTCCGAGTGTTAAAACATTTTTTGGAAACTAAGTCATCATTACAATTATTTGTTAACAAGGTAAATATATATGTTATTGATCACTAAACATAGAGCAGTAAAATGTTATTGGAAATTATTCCCTTAATACATAAATATATGTACTTTTATATATTTACATACATATGTAATTAGTTTAAATATCCATTAATTAATATTACTTAGGGAAGAAAGAGCTGGTTTAGCACCAGTATTATCCGTCTTACTCTTTTTTTTTTTTTTAA